ATGTCAGGCACTTTGATGTCACAATATACCCATTACATTTTTATTTGGGGGCGTTGCTATTGCTGACATCCTTATTATTTGGCTTGGTTCAAGATCCCTCTGTGAGGAATGGGTGAGTTGACTTTACAACAACTCCCTTAACCATAATTTTACATTTGATGTAGGAGGCTCTTCTGTCAACTTTCTTGATCTCACTATCCAGAACCTGACACTCACAATAACTCTTTTCAGGAAACGACCGCCAAGGTATGACCTTTTAAGTGAGCCATCAGTACAACCTTGTCCCATAGAGCTCATCTGCTGTATTGGCACATATGATGTGGGCTGGAATAGAGAAGTTAACATCTTTTAAAAATCTGGCCAATATTGACAAATGATAAACATTTGAAGGATGTACTAGCTAGCCCCCTTTTCTCTCAGTGACCACTAGATGAAGGAATTTTAGTAACAAATTGATACATAATCACCTCTCTCCACAGCAGTCGACTGCCGATCCGTACTTTGTCAGACCCTACAACTTATCAACATGGTCACTGTTTGACCTGTCCGTTTATCCGTCCCAAGTCTAAACAATTTTCAGATAGTAGGGAATTCTATAAATTCCAGGTTCGTACTTTTTTCAATTGTTGAACCACAGGGGCTATTTTTCTTTTGACTTGCTCCTCTGGACTCAAGTTCATGGGTAAAACTTAGAGGCAATTTTAGTGTTGCATCCATGAGTATGTAAACTCTTTAAAAAGCAGGTCTGATCTACCTATTTCAAGCCCCCTTAAGACGAAGCACAATAGGTCTACTGGAATCAGATTCATGGGGGTTGAGCATATCAGACAACCAATTAGACATGGGGACTGGGATATTAAGTTGGGATGGTGTGAATCCTATTACATCTATCGCCTCAAGACTCTAAGCCCCCACGGTGTAAATGAAGAATTTTCTTTTGCTCCCTATATTTAGATTTTATCTAAACCCTGGTATCATTTAGTTCTTCTGATCAACATACTTGAATGTTCTTTTCTCTTCTACTGATTTCTTTCTATTGAGTTTTTGCTTCATGTGTTAGTTGTTGATTTTTGCGTTATTCCTTTTTGCATATTGTTACACACTACAATTTGCCTCTTTGCGCATTTACTGTTCATGAGTAAAACGGCTCAATGAATCAAGTTTTTTAGGTGGTAGGATCGACATCTATCATTGGTAGGAAGTACGAGGGTTCATTTAGGGAACACGTGCCATATTTTTCATTACATTATCTTAGTAGGTGGATTACTGGAAGACATTCTCTTTAAGACTCAACTGTCCTTGTAAGATAGTATTTTATTACAGCACTTCTTTTTTATTGTGGATTTCAAAAAAAGTTGAACATTTGATGGATAAGCCACCTTATTATAAAGGACTTTGTGAACATCCAGTCCTCATTTAATTAGTTTTTTTTCCCCATTTACTTTTTCGTCAGTGATGTTGGTTGTGTTGATAGATCATTCTGCGTTAATTCATCGATATACATTGTTTATTGATTTATCAGGATATCTACTTATCTTTCCTCTACATCCGTGTTGAACATACACCTTTCCATAGAGCTTTGTTGCTGACACCCTGGGGCTCGGCAGATCTTTATTCCGACACTTGGTGAGTGTATTTTTCCAGCTGACGATGTACATTGGCACCCAGCATAGGAGAATGGTTATAGTCAGTTTCTTTCCCTTTAGGGGGGCCAATGTAAGATAAGAGTCTATGCAGGTCTGGGGAGTTATTTTGCAATGGGGGGGAGTTTCTTTGTGCCGTTACTACCCCTTTACATTTAATTTTGTATTATGTGTTGAACATGTGGTTAAATGAGGAGGAGCTTGATAGGTTGCCCCACCGAGAGTATACTCGTCTTATCCCCTTGCCCTTGCTCAGCTTGTAAGCTTCTGCTTTAGCTCTGCATTTCCCCTGTGATCTAAAGCCTGTTTATCATTTTTCTTTCTCTCCCGCTCAAGTCCTCTGGTATCGTTTACGTGGTCTGAGACTGGAGACCTTTTCTGCTTACACTCCCCTCTGTGACATTTGTGGCCACTTCAGCGCATGTGCTCTGGGTGCTGGTCACATCCTTCCCATTGGCCCTTGGTTAATTGAGCCTCTCCTCCTACCTCCGACTTGATTGGTTGGTTACCCACGCGCCTCCAAGTCTGGGAAATTTAAATATGCATTTAGGATGATTAGTTATTTTCTGTTTCTGTCAAAGATGCGTGATCAAGCACCGAAACGTACGTCAGACCTGCATTTTATTATTTCTAAAGTTCTCACTGTTTCACGATGGGTGGCACTATTTTGATGGTGGGACAAACATATTGTTGTAGGTTTATAAAGAAGCTATAGTTACTTTGGGAGATCCATGTGTTAATTATAAAAAGACTTAACGCTTATATGGAATTTCTGCATTTGTTAGCTCTTTGTATTTCTCTTCCATCCTTCCTCCTCAGGGGGCACTGAGGTAGTTGTAGGGGGTTTTGTATCTTATCTTTAGTTTATTATCTTGACTGACTCTCAAGCACAGTATTTAGTAATGTTTCTTTTTCTCCCTCTCTCTGGGTTTGTAGGTACACCTACGTCCTTAGAGTGCACTGAGCTAATCGTTGGGGGTTCTGTATCTCACCGGTAGCTGAGTATTTTGAGCGACATTTAGCAGACTTTCTACTTTATTCCTTTGCTATTTGCTCCCGTACTCATAGCTACATTATTCTCCTTTAATAATGCTCTGCTCAGCTGTGAGCTCTATACTGCAAGGATATTGTAAGTAGAAGTTTAGGTTATATCTACCTCTTCCCCTCTCCCTTTACTTTGTTCATTTTTGGCAGCTTTCTCGTCTTCTAAAGGCGGATCCCCTGAGCGATATTACTTCCTCAATATGTTTTCACATAATCACTTTTGATTCATTATAGACATTTGTTCTTTTTTAAGTATTTGCCCATGAGTTAACGATCAATAACGTTTGTTTTTTTTAATCATTTCTATTTTCTTGTCTTCAATCCCCTCTGGTCCTACTTGTTAAGATCTTTTGTTTTTTTTCTGTAAAATTTCATTGGGTTGATCTCTTATTTTGGGATTTAAATTTTGTGACTGTCTTCACTACCCCTCTCCCCTGTATAAGGAGGTTAGTATTTTTTCTTTGTGTTTCATTTGTCATAAAGCTTTTAAATGTTTCCCTTGAGATTCCAGCCTCCTCACTTCTTGTCACAAAGGCAAATCCAATCTCTGCCACAATCTCATTTGTCTTTGACGAAATACTTTGCATTTCCAACTTAAAATGTCTGAATTACTGAACAATTCTCACCCCCAGTCATCCCTTAATCGCACGTTCTCGGGTCCTGCGCACGTTAAGTGCTGCATTATACGCTAATTTATTGTCACTGTGTTTACTGGCAGCTTCACGGAATATCCCATCAGATACTCTGTATTTTACAAATGGTATAACAACCTGCAATTTTGTTTGCGTAGATTATAAAGCTTTAAGAGCGTCAACAAATTGCAAGAAACACGCTTTATATTGAATATGTCAAGAAACTGATTTAATAATGTTTTTTACGCAGCATAAACGTATGTGTGTAGGTCAAACCCCCAGCAGAGAAGGTATGGCACATGTTACTCAAGAGGAAAATTCTGTTTTATTTACTTATGAAATGATAATTGGGTTGATTTGACTGCTGCAAAACACAGATTGGGTTATTGCTAAACCGAGGATTATGGAGAATTGATCCAAGAATTGCAGATTTCAGGACAATATAGACAAGCGGTAGTTGGCGGATGGTGATTTTTTTTACCTTGGGCTATTTTGTCCCTCAAATTTGCGATTTAGTTGTCAGTTCTTCACAACTCCCATTTACATGGATAAACACTAGATGTTAAAGTGTATGTGGAATTATTAACTAGTGTGTGAATAGGAAATAGACTTGTTAGATTAACTTTGAGAAGTCGAACTGTAAATTCTCCAATTCACTTTTTATTCCAAATTAATTTTAAGTTATTCATTTGAGCTAAATTATTTATTTTTTAATGGAAATACTTATTACGTGGATCCCTTGCAATGTGCAGATATTGATCAGAGAAACAACGCACTCCTGTATCTTCCCACTAGACCCTCAGTTTCATGAACTAGGTCCAACACAGCAGAAGATCCAGGGGAGTACATTGGGGCAACAACTCCCCGTGAGAAGCAATGGTCACCTATATCTGGCAGCCAACAGGGGTTGAATGATGGACCACATCGACTCTGTCCCCAATTACCTGGACATGTTTCACGTGTAATTCTGTGTACCTATCCCTGCATTGTTGTATCTATGTGTCTGTGTGTAGATGTATATGTATAAATCTGGGTGCAGGTATCTGTCATTGTTTGTTTGCATGTTTGTAAGTGTGTGTACCTGTGTTTGTCTGGCTGTTCAGCATGTTTCCACTTTCTAAAATCTGGCTCAAAATCCAGTTACTCCTTCATTCAGTCTCTAGATCTGAAGTTTGGGAGAACCAAGGATAATCAAATCTAATAAGGGAACAAATTAAGAATTTCAAGCAATGAAAAAATACTTTATGACTGCTGAACTATAGTCATAAAGTATCAACATATGCTGCTACATGTTTACAAACCCATTGGCCAAGACTTTGTCCTCCATCATTTCACGATCAGGTGGATTTTATAAAAAAGGAAGAAAACCAACACCATTCTCCTTCTCAGGACTTTTAGTCCATCATCATTACTCAAACAATATCCAAGGACGTCACAATCCCAGGGTAACAGCCATGGATTGACGGCCTCTCTTACATCATCGTTCATATACTCAGTTTACTAAGAAAAGTTATTTATGCTGGTTCAACCTCCATCACCTTCCCCACATCCTCAGGTCTTAGGAATCGTCTCCAAGGATCTAGTGAAAGAAGTAGAAAGCCCTCTCTTACCCACAACAAAAAATGGACAAAGAAGGACTCCTAATATGGTCCTCAAATTTTGTTTTTATTAATATTTTTACTCAGTAGCTATAGATCACCAGGCGTTGAAGCATGGGGGCATCGCAGTGAAGACCTGCCAAGGACCCAAAAATTCTCAAAGCATGACGGCCATGCCAATAAGTTCCTCCAAGTTGACAAGCTCTCATGTTAGATATGCAGGCGCAGGCAACCTTCTGCACTCGAGATGTTATGGACTACATCCCCCTTGATGCTTTGCCAGCATTATGGTTGTAAGAGTATTACGGGAGATGTAAGAGTATTACGGTAGTCCACAACATCGGGAGTGTGGAGAGATGCCTAGGTCTGTCATCGTGAAGATATAAAAGGGGAGGAGTCTCCAGTGGAATGTGCCTAACAGTTCCACTGATTTCCATGGTGATTTCGTCACTTTTACCAAACACGACAGACTGATACATTTCCCTGTGTGTTGCTTACAGGACATGCAGGTAAATAAAATATTATCCAATCTTACCTGTACATTAAGTTTCATTTTTTGATAACTTTTCCTAACCAGATGCTCTTTATTCATTTTAACCAAGCATATGGTGGGCTGTTGTGGTGATCGAGGGCTTGCGTCTGTAGTTGTTTTTGTCGCACATTCAATGGATACAAAATAACATTTTTCAGTCTTCTCCCATTAGATGGAACACACCTGATTTGTGCTTGGTTATATTTCTATATTCTTTTATCGAGACGGGGGACATATGTATTTGTGCCAAAATAGGCATGGGGCAATAATAAGCAAAATGAATAAACTATTAGTGTTAAATAGCATTCACTTTGTTTAAGCAAATATCACATTGAAACATTAGATCGATAGCTGGTACAGAAACATAGGACAACACAAAGAAAATGTTACAAATATTAACGATTCCGTCTAAGCCAATGATAGTAAACTTACACACTAGAAATTTCTAAACGACAATTCTCACGATACACAGCACCCTCTCAATTACTTTAGGGGAAGTGTAGTATGAAGTTATTTGGGGGGATAGTTTACCATCACTGCCCTAGACAATGCTGCGATAATAGAGAAATAAACCTTTATTCTGATAATAAATTAAGTAGGGGGTCTGTATTTTTCCACGTGTTGCTGCTTTCTTGTTGTTAAACCTGCAGATAAATCGCCCTCCTCCTCATAGCGATGGCAGGTTGGAAGGCGGCTGGATTATGTGACCTTTGAGAGAAAAACGGGAGAAGCCGAGAGTTAAAATTGCAAGACGTTCTGTTGGAGCAGTGAGTCACTATACAAACTGTAATGAAATCCCCAAACGGACAGACAATCCCAACAGTTTATTGATCTTTCACAAGCGGGCATTTCGTGACCAGTCTCGGGGGGCTTTGACAGGCCAAGGGTTTTTTCATGTGAGCAATACTCAGAATCTATCAATTGCGTTGGACCAAGGAGGTTGAGTCTTGCACAATCATTTCCTCTTCTGCTGCCGCTGGCCTCCACAGCTCATGAATCCCAGCCAGAAGATTGAGAACACATTTTCAGAAAATTTGCATCCAGATTTATTTTTTTATACAAATGTTGAAATCAATTTTGGGAATTTTGCGAATAACTCCGTGTGACTTCCTACAGATTTCCATTAGCTTTGGCGTGGCAAGTCAATCCACCGGAGAAGGAGACACTGTTACAAAACAATAAACACAATTTCCTTTCGTTATTTATTTCCCACAATATTGTGATTAAGTATACACCATCCCAGCACGTCTAGGGTTAAGCTGCATGAAAACGAAGAGTCCTAGCTGGGAGCACAGAGTGGCCGGCGGTCTTTAAACAATTCATAATTACAGGCCTGAGATTGGTAATGAATTAATCATGCCTTATTTCTGTCGGGATGCGCCTGACATCCACATCTCATAAAATATAAATCAATGGAAAGTAATTGGTAAAAAAAAGTTTATTCGTTTCATGTGTTCATTACGACTTGTTTTCAGTTTTCCGTTTAAGTGCCGGGTAAAATGTCAGCTAAATGAAGGAATATTGTATAATGAGAGGCACCAAACCCATTAGAGGTGTATAGAAAAGGTCATATTCCAGTGGCACAAGCCGGGAAAAGGAACATGGGGTTTAATGGTCTAATACAAGGCATGTCCTTGCTGTGCTTGTGCGATCAATAGAAATCTAATATACGGGGAATCTGACAGCAGGGAAATAACCTGCAGATAATTCAGCTAATCTTGGAAAGGCCAGCGAGACTTAGCGAGACGCGTGTAGTTACAGGAAATCTCTCACATTTGGGGTCTGTTTACTAAATTAGATTGTAAGCTCATGGGCTATCTAGCTAAACACTTTGTATAAAAGAGCTCCAATGGCTAGTTATCAGCTTACGGACAGGGCTCTCTCTACCTCTTATATTTGTCTGTGTACATTGTACTTTCTTTACTAATTGTACAGCGCTGCGGAATCTGTTGGCGCTGTATAAATATCAATAATTAATAAAAATAAATGTAGTTGCAGGTTTTTTTTTTGTGGAGATGCTGTATCCTAATTCCAAAATGCAGTTTAGTAGCACTAGCGAGCGGAGCAGCCAGAAAAACATTAGCTTCCAGACACTGAGCGCCCTAGGGACCCATAAAAATAATAATGCCATAATGCCTTCACCAGATGGAGCTTCTTTGGTGTAAAATGGCTGATTTTCTGACATAAATCCTACGGCTAGCGAAACCGTGCACAAGATCTGATAACACGCACAACGCAGGTCTGGCTACATAATCGCCCTAGTGGGCAGACAGACTGGCAGTAAAATGTACCCTACAAGTGCCAAAGTGGAGCTGGTCTTTTTCTGTGCTAAAGGGACAAAATACATTGATGTGGGTTCCTTTGGACCTGGGGGGATATATGAATGGACCCTCTCCCTATTCCCTCTGTTTGGGGCACTGGAGCTTAGTAAATACTGGGGATGGGGCTGGTGGATTGCTACTAGCCTTCCTCCATTCAGATTGTAGTGGGGTGGGGGAAGATTTTTCTCCCTGGCCTGGGAGGGGGAGGTAATGGTGACGGTAGGGGGACATTTCAAAGATAACTGCACCATGGGACGCCAGGTCCCCACTGTCCAAATTCCCATTATTACCATCTTTGTTCATGACTTTAAATCTTGTGTGTTCTAGCTGGGTCTGAACAGCTGGAGGACGCCCATGGCTTTTCAGAGATTAATGCCCAGTAATTGGCACATTAAATGGAACGGATTCACAAACAACAAATATAACTGACCTTGAGAATCCTCACAAAGTAATCTCGTTACAGGGGACGATGAGGTCACAACTAACCAGGAAGAGGTATATTATAGAATTCAAAATGCTGTATTTTATAGGGAACTGTATGTAATACTGCACTACAGTATAGGGAACTATATATATAATACTGCGCTACTATATATAGTACTGTATATAATACTGCGTTACTGTATAGGGAACTGTATGTAATACTGCCCTACAGTATAGGGAACTGTATATAACACTGCGCTACTGTATATAGTACTGTATATAATACTGCAGTACTGTATAGGGAACTGCATGCAATATTGTGTTACTGTATAGAGAACTGTAATTAATACTGAGCTACTTTAGAAAGTACTGTACGTAACACTGCGTTACTGTAAAGAGTACTGTATATAATACTGCGCTACTGTATAGGGAACTGTATGTAATACTGCGCTAACTTATAGAGTACTGCATATAATACTGAGCAACTGTATAGAGAATTGTATTAATACTGCGTTACTGTATAGAGGACTGCATTAATACTGCGTTACTGTATAGAGTATCTGAAATTCACCTTGAATTCACACTTCAATAACCTTGAGAGACAGAAAGCAAAAGAGAATAAAAAAGAGATATGGAAGCATGGACAAACAGACAGCGGATACATGGACAGACAGACAGATACTGGATATATGGACAGGCAGACAGATACTGGATACATGGACAGACAGATATTGGATACATGGACAGACAGACAGATATTGGATACATGGACAGACAGACAGATACTGGATATATGGTCAGACAGATAGATACCGGATATATGGACAGACAGACAGATACCGGATATATGGACAGACAGACAGATACTGGACATATGGATGGACAGACAGATACTGGATATATGGACAGACAGACAGATACTGGATATATGGACAGACAGATAGCGGATACATGGACAGACAGACAGATACTGGATACATGGACAGACAGACAGATACTGGATATATGGACAGACAGATAGCGGATACATGGACAGACAGACAGATACTGGATATATGGACAGACAGATAGCGGATACATGGACAGACAGACAGATACTGGATATATGGACAGACAGATAGCGGATACATGGACAGACAGACAGATACCGGATATATGGACAGACAGACAGATACTGGACATATGGATGGACAGACAGATACTGGATATATGGACAGACAGATAGCAGACACATGGACAGACAGACAGATACTGGATATATGGACAGACAGATAGCGGATACATGGACAGACAGACAGATACCGGATATATGGACAGACAGACAGATACTGGATATATGGACAGACAGACAGATACTGGATATATGGATGGATAGACAGATACTGGATATATAGACAGACAGACAGATACTGGATATATGGATGGACAGACAGATACTGGATATATGGATGGACAGACAGGTACCGGATATATGGACAGACAGACAGATACCGGATGTGACGAAATGCCTTTTGTCCCTGGATTGTTAGGTGACAAGCTGCCCTTTGCCCCCGGCTTTTGGAGGAGCCTGATTGCCAGCCTCCTTCCTCATGACTATGGCCCTGGGGTTTATTGCCATTTAAAAAAGACTATTTGGGGCTTATTGGCTTCTAAAGACAGTTTCTTCCCATTGGAATCCATGGGAAGGTGTGTTTCTTCCCCTCCCCCGTTTCCTGTCTATTGTTCACCTAGATTGGGCGCTCAGATCCGAGCTATCTGGGGATAGGTTAAATGTGGGGGTTCTGTGTAATAAAATAAGAATTATGTATTTTTATGTACTTTTACGTATTTTTGCTGTTAGTGTTAAATGTAGATATTTTCTGTACCTGGAGATAACTGAGTTTACTGCAGTGCCTTAAGCCAATTATCTCCAGGATGGAGAGGAGGGATTTCATTGTTTATGTGAGAGTGTTATCATGTTAATTAGTGTTCCCATTGGTTTGTGTCCCTTTTGTCACAGTTTACCACCAGGTCCAGGGGGTGTGCCTCTGACCTGAAAACTTGTATATAAGGAGTAATAAACGCTCATTGGAGTCAGATCATCTTGTACCTTCATGAAGTTTCGGCTCATGTTTGGGGGATTGGAGAAACTACACTCTGGGGATTGCTATAATCACTATACTCCCCAGGGTATAATCACTAAGCTCTGCTAAGAGCTTGTTCCTGTTCCTGCTCTCTGGAATTCGGAGAGAGGTCGACCTGCTGGAAGCTGGACCCTGGTCCTGGGTCCAGAGTGGGTGGAGACGGCGAGACCCCAACCAAGCTGCGGCGGTTCGTGGGGTCTGCAGTGGTTATGGTGTCAGGCAGAGTGCTTGGAGTCCTCGGAAAGCACTAGGAGCATCCGTCGGCGGAAGGTACCCGGTCGGGGTGCCAGCGGTTCCGTTACACCGGATATATGGATGGACAGAGAGATACCGGATACATGGACAGACAGATACTGGATATATGGACAGACAGACAGATACTGGATATATGGATGGACAGACAGATATTGGATATATGGACAGACAGACAGATACTGGGTATATGGATGGACAGACAGATACTGGATACATGGACAGACAGACAGATACTGGATATATGGATGGACAGACAGATACTGGATATATGGACAGACAGACTGATACTGGATATATGGATGGACAGACAGATACTGGATACATGGACAGACAGACAGACAGATAATGGATATATAGACAGACAGATAATGGATATATAGACAGACAGATACTGGATATATGGATGGACAGATACTGGATATATGGACAGACAAACAGATACTGGATATATGGGTGCACAGACAGATACTGGATATGTGGACAGACAGACAGATACTGGATGTAAGGAAACCAAGTATATTTAAACCTCATTCGGTAGTTTCCTCCCGAACCGCCAGAGCATCAGTGATTATAGCTCTCCGTTCGGTAGATAAAGTAGACGAATCGTATAGTAATCCCAGTAGTTTCATAAGATAATTCCGTTAATGAAACACACGAATCCCCAAACATCAGCCGAAGAAGGGTACAACTGAACTAACTTTTAATGAGTGCACACAGGCTTTTATGCAAGTCCTTGTGCAAGGGGACATCCCCCAGGGATTAACCAGTCAAGTACCGTAAAAACATAACACACACCCACAATTCCCTCCCCTAGCCCTGGAGATAATCAAGTCTGATAAAGTACTAACTTGATTATCTCCAGGCAGAAAAATCATATTTTTCCCCAATATCTGAAACACCCCTTTATACTTGAGGTATCCCCACAAATAACATGTTCCCTGATAGCCCCATCTGGGTGACCAACATATTCAAATTTCACCCAGATCGGTTCAGGGGTTCTCAAAAAGTGTGGAAATCCTCTGTGACCGGCTCACCCTGGGCTGGCTGCCCAAAACAGTTCCA